ATTTGACAAAATTCACTAAAGAAACCACTTGAGTCTGTATTTATTTTGCAGAAAAATTTTAATTATTAATTCATTTTTTAGCGTGTTATTAGTGTATTTAGATTTTCAATTTTGTCCTGAGACAGCATAGTCACTTCTATCTTTCTAGGAATTGGTTAATTTTATCTAAGTTATCTAACTAGCTGTGTCTAATTGCGCTCATAATATTTCCTTAATTCTCTTAATGTCTGAAATCAGTCATTAGTGATTATGACTTTATTCCTAATTTTGATAATATATGTGTTATTTTTTGTTGTTCTTCTAGATAAAGGTTTGTTGATTTTGTTGATCTTCTCAAAGAACCAACTTATATTTTCAACGATTTTCTCTATTGCTTTGCTGTTATTTTAGTTTCATTAATTTCTGTGGTAATTTATATCATCCCTTTCCTTCTTTCTGCTTTCTGGGGTCTTGACATGCTCATTTGTTTTAGTATTTTAAGGTGGAATCTCAGGTAATTGATTAGAGAACTTTTTACTCCCTTATGTACATTTAAATATGTAACTTTCTTCTAAGTATTTCTTCAACTGCTGCCCATAAATTTTAACATATTGCATTTTTATTTTAAGTTATGTCAAATATTTTCCAATTTCTCCTATGAGTTTATTTAATAATATATTTTTACATTAATATTTTACACTTAACATTTGCTAATTAATCTCCAAATATTTAGTGATATCCCAGTTTTTTGTTGGTTTCTAAGTTAATATACGTGTTAGATACCTGCATGATTAATTATCTCTTTTGTTCAGGATTTGTTGTTTGGGATGTTCAATAGCTTGATATGATATGTCTAGGTATGAATCTACTAATAACTATCATACTTAGGATTAATTGAACTTCCTGGGTACTTATTAATGTTTTCATCAAATTGAAGTAACATATATAACATATGTAAATGTATGTATTGTTATATATGTGTATAATACATACATATGTGTATACACATACACATGTACATACATACATGCATGTATCTAATATATATATGCATTATACACATATATAATACATTTAATACATACACATATGTATATACATGTACATATGGTTTGCATATATGTATGTCATATTTATTGCATGTGTATAACATCACATATGTTATAAATTCAATAATAAGGAGCTTAATTATTGCTTGACACATTGCTATTTCTCTTTTAAATGTTAAGAGATGAGACAAATATATTTATCAAGTTGCTAATATTAACCCACATAGTAAAATGTCCAGTGTCATTTATTTCTTCCTCTGGATTTGAATTAGCAACTTGTATCTTTTACTTTCAGCATAGAAGACATCCTTTACTTCCTATGAAGCAAGTCTGCTAGCAAAAAACTCATTTTTGCTTATCTGAGAAAGTCTTTATCTCATCTTCATTTTTAAAGAATGGTTGTGCTGGATATAGAATCTGGGGATGACATTTTATTTTCTTTCTGCCCTAGAAATATCTTATCCCACTGTCTTCTGGTAGCTCTTGTTTTTAATTGAAAAAGTCAGCTGTTAATCATTTTGATGGTTTACTTCGCCATGATGAATTTTCTCCTTTGTTCAGGATTCGTTGTTTGTTTTGGGTATTTAATAGTTTGACATGATATGTCTAGGTATGGATCTACTAACAAGTATCATAGGATTAGTTGAGCTTCCTGGATATTTATTTATGTCTTCATCAAATTAAGGAAGGTTTTAAATATTTTTTTCATTTTTGCTTCATGTTTTTTTCTCTTTCTGAGATGCCCATCAGGTATATATTAGTACATTTAACATTGTTTCACAGGTTTCTGAAGCTCTGTTTAATTTTCTCGAATTTTTCCTGTCTATTCATTACATAGATAATTTATATTGAATTTTTGTAAGTTAATTGATTTTCTATCACCTTGAATTAACCATTGAAAAGCTATAACTTCAGAAATTTTATTTTTAAAAATTATTTATATACCTTTATTGAGTACCTTTATTTCTAGTCAGTGTTCTAATAATTTTGTTAATTCTTTAAAATATTATTTCTTTTTTTGTTCCAGTAATTTATATTCATCTTTCTAATAATTTTGTTAATTGTTTATTATTTCTTTTGAGTTTGTAGGAGATACTTTTTAGCTGCCTGGTAGTTTGTACCTGTTAATTCCAAAATTTGAGTGAACTCACAGGTATTTTTTTTTATTCTTTTTCCATAAGGATGAATTGCATTTCCATGTTTCTTTGGATTTGTAATTTTTTTTGTTGTTGAAAATTGTGCATTTCAGATAATATAGTAACTTCACATTACACATTTTTTCTTCATATTGTTTTTGCTGTTTCTATTCATTTGTTTAGTAACTTGCCTGGATTATATTTGTGAAATCCTTCTGCTTTGCATGTGGGATCTAATAGAAATTTAACTAATATGGCCTCTCTCTATTCTCCTAAGATATTTTTTATATTATACCAGGATAATTTTGAGAGAAGGTTAATAGGTTATAAGTTAATGATTTTTGCTCAGAAATTCTAATTAAAATAATTCATATGATACTAATTCTGTTTTAGAGTGGTTTAATGGTATAGATTATTTAAATCACAATAGGTTTTAAAGATGTAAACTTCTATAATATTAGCAACCCAAAAAGAGGCTGACTTGTCCTTTTTTCTTTAAAAAATTCCAGTGAATAGAAGATATTACATGTGAGAATAAGATTTATGTCTTCTTAAATTTACAAAATTTACATACATATACACATAAAAAAAACCATCAGGCACCTTATATCTTATAAAGAAAACCAACATATAGCAAGATGATCAATATATTAACTTTTAAGCAGATATGCATTCTCAGCTAGGTCAAAATCTCTTTCATATACTAGTCAAAGAGGAAAAAAGGTAGAGCTTATGCCACTTTGTTCCCTGTAGTAAGGTAGTTTTGAGACATTAAACATCAGCAACATAGCTAACCTTGACAGTGTGTCATGAGAAGATATCCAGGTTCAGAATATGTTTGCCCTGACAGTCCTTCCTACATTTTACCATCTTTGTTCTGTATTAAAAGTGACAAAATTCTAAAAAAAAACTTCACTTTTTCAAGTTACTATAACAGCTGGTTTCTGGTTAAATACAGCTACAGAGGGCTTTGGCAGAAGCTTGAGGTGGAGGGAAGGGAGAACCCAACTCTCTTTTCCTGCATTAGAGAACAAGGGCCTTATTTACTCTATGACTTCTATTCTCACAAAACTGACTGACCTGAGTCTTTTGTTGGGTGACTCATACTTCTAAGCACCAGTAACAATGTCTCATCCTCTTTTCCCTCCAACCTTGTAGTGGTCCATCTGCCCACTGTTGTTAATCAGTGGGTCACCTTAATGTCTTCTGTTTGTTTTCCAGGTTCAATATAACCTCTACATTACGTTTACTTGTTGCAAATTCTTAAAGTTGTTTTTCTGGTTAGATTCCAACTACTGGAGATTTTTTTATCATTATCTTATATTTGTCATTATCTTATATTCTACTTGGTGTTGAATAATGGAGCTCTGTTTCTCTAGTTTAGAAATAAAAAGGAATCCTAGTTTTGATCCAAGTGGTGATCAATATTTTTAAAATTTGTGTTGACAATGGATCAAATCTTTTGACTTAGAATTGGCCTTTATCATGTAATTAATAATCACAGGGAAAAAAATTCAGGGTCTTATTTGTATATGTGTTTTGTCATTCTATTTATATGCATACTAATACAACTAGAGTCCCCTAACCTCTTTGTCATTCTTTCTCTACTTCTCCTTGCTTAACTATTTCACAGGATTGTTGAGATTCATGATTTAATCTTGTCCAACAGTCTAGAGTTGAAGATGAACAGGAAGCTTTTAAATAAGACTGACACTAATTCTAATTCTTGCTGCATGCCTATACTTAATATGCTCCACAGACTCACACAGCTGATTTATTTGGAATCCTTCCGCCCCTGCTCTAGTGGCATTGAAAGAACTCATCACAATCTTCATTATATTTGCAAGGTTTCAGAAACTGTAATACAGGATAACATAGAATTTAAACATAATGCATCTCTTTCTAGTTAAAATCTATTTCAACCACAGTGAATACTTTTAAAAATAACTGGACTAATACATTTTTTAAAAACTCAAACTTTCCCAGTATTTATTTTTCCCTATTAGAAAATGATGCAAAATCAAAAGACACTGCTCGTTTTCTTCCCTGCTTTAATTTCTGCAATATTAACAATATATTTGCTGGCTATGTCCTAAAGGAACTATTTTAAAAAAAATCCTAAAGAATTCCTAAAGGATTATCCCTTCATTCACCAGTTTAAAATTGTTTTCTTTCCTTGTGGTTAAATATTTAATGTGTTGCTGCTATATAAGAATCATCATTGAGTTAACTGTTCTAATTATAGACTATCCTTTATATTTTCCAATACTAAATGATACTTTGACCAATTAAAAATTTGGATTACTCAGCAGTAAGCTGTTTATGAGGTTGGTTACTTTTTCATCTCATCTCACAATTCAACTTTTTAATTCGAGGCTATCAGGTATCACAACTGAGAATGTGAACATGTCAATAGTCTAATCAGTTTTCATTATACCATTAGGTATTTAAAAGAAATGAAGAAATAATGTAGTTTAGTCAGAAGTCATATTTTGTCACAAGTTGTGTTTAATGGCTTTTGTGAAGTATTGCTTCAATTCTATTTCCAAAAAGCAATAAAGCAGAAGTTGTTTTTACAAAGCAGATAGAAAATTGATTCACTGGTGCTGGGCATTTTCCAAGTGTAATGCAGTATTTCCAAACTGTTACATATGTAATAATGGTGTTGGTGTTTAAGTAAGCATTTCATTAAATGGGTTGATTTTGTTCCTCAAGCTAGAGTTAGCATCACTGACTAATGACGGGGTGAGAAAATATTAGTCTTATAATTTTGTGTTTAAAAAAAGTCACCATTCAGGTAAATATGAATCTGTCAGTTAAGGGACAGGCGAAAGTGTTATGACTTACATATTTTTATTTCACAAATTCAAAGTTGGATTACATACTTTTTTTGTTAAAAATAGTATTAATAGTAATAGTGAATTTTATATATATAACTTTTAATTATCTATGATATAAAAACTCTCATAAATCCAGGGGAGGTATTTTTCAGATTTTCAGTTTCAACCATGTTTGCCTGTATTAAGATCCCACTCTTTCTCATAATCGCCCTTAGAATTTATGGATCTATTTCGAAAGCAGACAGCACAGAACAAAGTCATATCACTGCATTCATTTCTATTTCTTTCTAGCTCCATAAAATTACTGTAATCTATATTTTTTAAATTGATACTGATTAGAAATTATATACTAGCATTACTCAGTAAAATACAATTATTTAAACATATCCAACAACAGCATTGTACTAAAAGTGGCAGCTGTCTTTAAAAAAATGATAGGTCTACATTGACTTTTTAGAAATTGAGAGATTATTAGCTGTAATTTTGACATTAAACTTTCATAAAAAATTTAACAAAGGAGAGAAGGGCTCCGATTACATAAGAAATTGTAAACATTTATTTATCCTTTTTATGGACTATAAGAGAAAAATAAAAGCATTTTCCTAAATCACAGTTATAGCTCAATTACAAGTCACTTAGATAATGTTGTAAGCATCGATACTTGGTTCAAATTCTGTTCAGGCCTTGTCTATTAGGCTTCAGCCCATAAGACAATCAAACCCAGAAATTAGTCATTGCTAAGATTGCCATGTGCTATGGAACCATGAATGCCAGGCAATCTTCTTGAAGATTTCAAGGAATACTTTTTCCCCAACAGAAATGGTTTTGCTTCTCTTTTAATGGGATTGCAACTAATATATACCAAAGTTTGCCACTTCAAGCTCTTCACCTTGAAAAATAAACCCATCTTTAAAGACCAAACAAGATTTGGCAAATTAGAAAAAAATTTCAATACCTATTTTGTTATTTAATTTCAACAAATATAAACCTCCTTTCCTCTGACAATATCACTGCTAGACAAATTTTTGACATACATTAATAATTCCAATTCACATATACACTGAGATTTCATCTATTTCTCAAATTAGAGGGAATCAAATGTATGAGGAGATTCCTGAGTTCATTTTTCACTTAATATGACAGAGACTCATCTGAGTTTTGCTTCCAAACCTAGGCCTGGAGGATTGACAGTGTTGAGGTCAATTAAAAATACAGGCCAAGCTTCACTGTGGGTTTAATGGCAACAACATCCAAATTGAGAATTGTGTGTGCCACAGCTGAAGTGGATGCTCTGCCACAAAGGCCTCAAATGGGATGCCTTCCAGGTTTGGCTGTAGGCACAGATTCTTCTTCTCTCTAGCAGTGATGATATCTATTTCTTCAGTCCACTTTACTACTTGCACTCAGAAATTTTAGCACAATTATCAACCTTTTCCTTACATTTTTGAAACCCTCTTTGTGTAATCGTTTTGGATTTTTTTTTTTGGTATAATTTATCTTCATCTTCCATTTTTCCTAAAAGGAATTTACTTACTAAATCTGCATATATACATTGAAAAGATAGTTTAAATGATGGGGCAGGAGAGTTGAGACAAAAAAAATATGCAGGATATTGAAAGACTACATAAATTCAGATAAAGCCAATCAATTAGATGAGCAGAATTAATATATATATATATATATTCTATATACACACACACACACACACACACAGACATATGCAATTTTTTTTCCTAAGATAACATTCTTTTGCTCACTGGTTTAGAGGGAGCTTGGCTGTGTATTTACTTGTTTATTTTTTTGGACCTGATTTCATAATGCAAAGATTTTATCATGCAGTAGATGATAAACATCCTTTCTCCATTTCCATTAGATTCAGGTCAGTGGCCTTTTGTCTGGCATCTACCTCATGACAGATGCTGGTAATATGAAAACGAATTATCTAAGGTCATGACTATGAAAAAGATAACAGTTTTGCTGGCCGGCAATATTTAATTAGATAAATTATGACCAATCTTTTATAGAACATGTTATAAAGCAAGTTATTCGCTACTCTGACAGTGCCTGATCCAACCAAAGTAGAAGTGAGTTTAAATATAAATACGACAGGCAGAACTTTCAGTAATGGTAATGTGAGAAGGTCAGAAAATACAATGATAAACCTGGACAATATATTTTTTGTAACAAACAGTTCAGGGTTCAGGAAATCCACTAGTGGCAAAAAATTTTATTTTATTCAGAAACACATCTCAATTAATTTGCTGAACTTTGGGTAAATACGTTGAAAATCTGTAGAATTTTTGTTGAATTTTACAGATTCAGGAAGAATTGCTGAACTTTCAGTAAATACAGAGAGAATCCATAGGATTCCTGCTGCAATTGCTATCATTCTTCCAGCTGGGTTGGCAAGGTAGATCTCCCCCGATGAAGCAAGTGTTGAAGACCACCAGCCCAGCTTTGCTAATACAAAGACCAGCTTGCTTTGAAGTAAAAAGAGAAAAAAAAGAAGGTGCTTAGCAGCTTTCTCAGGAAAAGTAGTATTCTTGATGGTTAGTATATGAGGAAGTTTAGTGACTGTTAGCGCAATCAATATACCAAAAATTTAACAAGCAGAGAATGGGAATAGAACAGAAGCAGAGAAACTTGATATGAATAGAAACTGCCACATATCTATTCCTGGCAGTCTGCTAGCCATGTGCATAGGGAAGAACAAAAGGGGCTCAAGCAATCTACATGTTCCTGGTCTTCTTATCGGTTCACTCGCTATACAACACAGGAGCAACCCCTAGGAAAACAGGCTTAATTTTTTTTTGAACTTTATTTATTTATTTTATTGCATTTTAGGTTTTGGGGTACATGTGAAGAACATGCAAGATTGCTGCATAGGTACACGTGGCAGTTAGAAAAACAAGCTCAAATGAATGTATATTGTATAACTTCTATTTATATAACATTCGTGTGGTGTCAAAATCACTGAAATAGAGAATGGATTAATGATTCTGAAGAATTAAGGAAAGGATGGGGATTGTGGGAAGTGGGCATGGTTATAAAATAGCCACATGAGTGTCCTTGGAATATTTTGTATCTTGAGTGTGTTAGTGTCCATATTCAGAGTGTGATATTGCACTATGATTTTACAAGTCATTACCAGTGGAGAAAAGTAGTGATAGAGTACATGGATCTTTCTGTATTATATCTTACAACTACATGTGAATCTATAACTTTTTCAAAATAAGTGTTAGTTTAAAATATTCTAAATTTTAATTTTGAATATATATTTGTGGTAAAAACTCACATATAAAACTTTTTGGAGCACTCAACAACGTTTAAGGGTAAAGGGGTCTTGAGAACAAAATTCTTGAAAACTTCTAAGTGATTCAGCAATATAGAGCACCTCCCATTACAATTGCTAGTGCAAAGTGCAAAAAAAAGACCATGTGTTGAAAGAATGTATAATTTTAAAATGGCTATACGTAATCCAAAAATGGAATACATTTCCTAAGAATATGTTTTAGTTAAATGTCAGAAGGAGTGCCTGATGCTCGACTGCTCAGATTTTTATTACTTGCTGCAATTTCAGTTAACTTAGCATTAAAATTCTTAGTTTACAAGTTCAGAAAGTTGGTATCATTACTTCACCTAATGGAAAGATGATACAATTGTAGGACAACAAAATTTTGAGCAACTTATAAAGACATTTTCTGATATCAAAATGTGTGACTCAGGATAGGCTCTGTCAAAATTTGATCAACTGAACCAATATACATTTCCCACATAGCATTGAAGATATATTAAATGGGCAACCATCAGATTACTGCTAAATATGGATAACAAAAGAATTTGAATTAGCATTAGGAAGTAGCATTAGACAATGATAGGGCTGACAGAATTCTCTTTATTTCATGGAAAATTTAACACTGGAATACAGAGTTCAATAAATATTGAAAAGGAATTTTCCAAGCTGCTATTGTCTAAATGCTGTTTGACCACCCTACATACATTATAACAATTAAGGTTTGGAATATCCACTGATGATAAATGAAATCAGGACAAGAGACAAGCATATAGCATTCCTGATTTATCTTAAGTTGATTATCTTAGCTTTTGTTTCACAAGGTGTCTTCTGTACTCTCTGGAGTATCTAACATCTATGGAGGACCGAAAACCTTGGAGAGCCTTTTCTAGACTGTGTTCCCTGGAATAGCAGTCAAAATTCCTCAATCTATTTAAGTGTACTTGGAAAATAATGCTCACTCTACACTCCACATGAATAGTTACAATGCACATTAACATACCAAAATCTCTGAGAATTGCTGTAAAAATGTCTACATAGAAAATATAGTGACAATGTGTGACAGTGTCTACGTAGGTATTAAGTTTATATTCGTTTCTTTTAACCCCTAAAACATGAGATAGGTATATAATTAATTATCCTCATTGTATCAATCCTTTTGTTTGTTTGTTTCATCATTTGAGACGGAGTCTTGCTCTGTTGCCCAGGCTGGAGTACGGTGGTACGATCTTGGCTCACTGCAACCTCCACCTTCCAGGTTTCAAGCAATTCTACCACCTCAGCCTCCTGAGTAGCTAGAATTACAAGTGCCCTCTAATTTTTGTATTTTTAGTAAAGACAGTGTTTCACCACATAAGTCAGGCTGGTCTTGAACTCCTGACCTTGTTATCCACTCGCCTCGGCCTCCCAAAGTGCTGGGACTACAGGGGTGAAATCCCTTTGTCTTATAAAACTTATTAAATTCTACAAATTTCTACTGGGAAATTTCTAGTTTTCTTTCAGAGATAGTCTTTAAACATAAGAGAAATTCAAGGTCACCTATGAATTAAGATGGAGCTATAGTTGGCAGAGTAAATACTGGCTTATGTGGTAGGACTTCAAATCGACCATAGTGTCCTGAGAGACATAAACTTTATGGTCTGATGTTTTAAAATAAACTTATTTTCCATTCCTCCCAGTCTGAATTACCCCTGAATTAATCATGACTTAGGGTTATACCTTGGACAGAAAATATTATTTTAAAAGACTAGACAGTGTACTCAAATTGGGGAGGGTTCTCTAGTTTATGCATTTTAGCGGGATAGGTTATGGCTAATTTGAGGAAACTGTAATGCTGAGGTTAAGTGTGTGAGGTACAAACAGTAACTGCACAGGAGGAAAAGTAAAAGCACTCTGGAAGGTAGTAAGTGATGAGAGATCTTACAGTTATATCTGGATATAAAATTATGGAAAAGGAGAGTAAATACCAGTATGTCTAAACAATGGTTTTCAAGCTTCGGTGTGCCTCCGAGGTGCTTAGTTAAATATATTGAATTTGCCTTTTCTCCCACTCTTTTCTAACATAGACTTCATGTTAATTTCATATGTTTAGGGTAGAGCCCAAATTTCAGAACTTTTAGTTAGCTATCTGTTCTCTACATTTTAAAAATCATTATTTTTTTAATGCCACCAAATTGTCATGAAAGAAGAGTCGTAACACAGAGACCACATAAAACAAATTTTGAAATTGTGTTTTGCATCTGAGAATAAACGGGGTGAAGTTCCTCACTTTGCTTTGAGCTACAGTGTCTTTGCTTCAGGTTTAAGAGTCCTTTTCAGATGAATTTTCTCATGCTTTTCTAGTAGCCCGAAGGTATATTGAATCCAAAGTCTCATTTTAAATGTCTTGCTTTCATTCACTTTCTGATAAAAGAACATCTATCTACATATTTTAATTTGTTCAATAACAGTAGGAGCTTTAAAGCAATAATGTATAACTAGCAGATTTTGTTTGACAGCACATGGCAAATTATATTTTCTATTCTACAAATACCCATGAATATTCAATCAGCAAGAAAACCTGTAATCTTCTTGAGAAAAAACAATGTATAAAAAAGTAAAAACAAAACTTTCTTTTTGTTTAATTAAAATTTGAGTGACTTTATTGTTACATTTTTATTTGGCTAAGAATAATAAATCATTTCTAAATATTTGGACTCTCTGTGTGCTTAATTAGAGAGGATGGGACAATTAGTGGGATATGCCTTTTTGGCAAGACCCAAGTCAAAAACAGCCACATCTTTTTTTTTTTGAAAGGAGAGAAGGAAAGAAAGAAAAAAAGGAGTGAAGGAGAGGAAAAAAGAGAAAGAAAAAAGGGAGAGAAAACAAGAATGTTGCTTTATTCTGAAAATGGGTATTGAAAACCTCTTTTCTGCCAATAATTGTGCTTAATAATGGCCGATTAATATTTCATTTAAACCTATGAGTAGGTGTGATGTGGCACTTACGAGAATGTGTACTTTGTGTATTTAGAGTGGAGAGCTCTAAAAATGTTTATTAAGTGTACTTGTTCCGGATCTGAGTTCAAGTCCTGGATATCCTTATTAATTTTCTGTCTTGTTGATCTATCTAATACTGATGTTGAAGTCTCCCACATTATTGTGTGGGAGTCTAGGGAGTCTAAGTCTCTTTATAGGTCTTATATGTCTGGGTGTTAGGATTGTTAGCATTGATTTTTTTACCACTATATCTTTGTTGCTTTAAAATCTATTTTATGAGATGCGAGAATTGCAACTCCTGCTTTTTATTTATTTATTTATTTTTGCTCTCAATTTGGTTGGTAAATGGTAAAAACAAAACTTTCAATATCACTTTAAGGGTTAAATGAAAGATGTATTCAGCTATTGAAGTCTACTGCCTAATGCATTACATTATGACTTCCCAACTAAAATAAACTTGAGAAAGCATTTTTAATTGTATGATATTTACATGTATTTTCATGTAGGTAAAAAAGTTTACACATTCGAATATTTATTTATTGGAATATTGTTTGATGAGAGGATTCATAGTATAGTATAGTTTTTTGCACAAAGTTATAACATACATAAAATTAAGCAGAATTAAATTAATATTGCTAAATATTAATTTTCAAATTATTAAGGACTAAGAACTCAAAGTATATATATATATATTACATAAAAGTAATTAATGGCAAATATGTGAAAAAGCTAAATATATGTCTTGACACTTTGCTTATATGGGAGATATATTTCATTTTTAATGCAAGGATTTGATTTTTAATTCTCAGAAAGAATGGCATTCTCATTTCATGATTACTTCAAGCTCTGGGTTTTGTGAACTCGGTTTTCGTTTTTTATAGTGCCAGTCTCCTGAGATGCTCCTAGAGAGGAAAGCAATCACCAGTCAATATTTAGACGTAGGCATTCTTCTTCCTAATGGAAGGTCAGGCCAGGGTGTCCTAGGCATTTTGTGCAGTTTCACAGGTTTATTCATAAGTAGACAATCAAAATCTTCATAAGTAATTGTAACTCCAATTTTGGCAGATTTCACTACATTTGCTTGTCAACTCTGATACAGGCATAAATGCTTTGCTATCATTAAGTACTTTAATCCATTTTAGTAGTCCTTTAAAATATTCTTTTCTAACATGAGGTAAAATATTGCCAATGATAGTCAGAAAAAGGTATG